AGATGGTCCTTTCCCCAGCACAGAGGGAAAAGTGGTCTTGGCTGGGCATACTCAGCTCTAATGTTCAGAGGTGGTTGATATCTTCTTGAATTACTGTGTTCCTCTCTACCAAGAAATAAGTCAAAGAAAGTTGAAGTCTGTTCTATGGTGACAGCAGCTTATATGGGGAAATAATTTTCAAGTTTAAAGACTACAGGTTAATTATCATTCTTTTTAGCATTGTAATTTTGTTCTTGTTCTTCATTCTAGTAATGCTTTAGATGAAGCAGCTTCCTTACTCAGCTGTTGTTTTGTTTTATTGAGACAGGGTCTTGCGTTGTAATCCAGCCAAGCTCTTTCAATCCTGCCTCAGCCAAGGAGTGCTGGAATGACAGGTGTGAACCTTGATGTTGGATTGTTACTTACTTTTTGGTATAAAATTCTGAGGTCTGGGAGTCTGGAGACTTGCTGTTTAATTTTTTTCTTTTTTGGTGCATGAAGGCATACATGTTCTACTACTACTGCAGTGTGTGACTTAACATTGAACACTTCACTGTTTTGAATCTCAATTTCCTCCAGTAAAATGAGAGAGTTAGGTTAATTGATCCCCGTGGTCTTTTGAATCCTGTGAGTCTGATGTAGATGTTATCCAGCGATTTGCTACAAACATGAGCCAGGTGTAAATACTTAGTAAATATGTTCTGCCCCTGGTTGCTTCACAGCCCGGTGGTTAAATGACTGGAAATTTTCATTCTGATTCAAAACTGCATCCTTCCCTAATCATTGATGTGTTTGTAGTTGTCACTGAAGTACAGACTACCTTGATACTGTAGTGACAGTTAGCTTGAAAGATGTTTTTGGGGGATGGAGTGGACATATTTATTGTTATTATTTTTGTTGTTTTTATTATTATTTGAGACAGTATATCACACTGTAGCCCAGACTGTCCTAGTACTCATTCTGTAGTCCAGGCTGGCCTATAATTTAGCAATCCTCTTGCCTCAGTAAAAGATGGTTTCTTTTTAGAGCAATTACCATTTGTAATTCAGTTATAAAAGGTAACAAAAAGCCAGGTGTGGAGGTATACTCCTTTAATTCCAGTACTCCGAGGTGGAGGCAGTCAAATCTTTGTGAAATCAAGGCCAGCCTGGTATACGTAGTGAGTTCCAGGCCAGTCTGTGCTACAGTGTGATATACTGAACTCTCAAAAACAAACAGAGCAAAAAACAAACCAAATAAAACAACAACAAAAACCCTCATAAATTTTTAAGCACATTTATGATTTTGTGTTGGGCTGCATTCATAGCTGTCCTTAACCTCATGAAGTCCAAGGGTAGCAGGTTGGACATGCCTGAATGAAACTGATCTTTTTAAGTTGTGTGGTTTCTTCTTTCTTATTCTCTGTAAAAGGCTGCCAAATTGTGCCTAAAGAAGCAGGGTGAGTTTGTGTGCATTTCAGAGAGACCAAGCTGTCCTGCCTATGTCAAAGTCATGCTTTTTTCACTTTCTATTTGTATACCTAGGCTATAGGTACATTGATAGAAGACAGAAAAGACACACTGGTCTCTTGGCTATAGGACAGTAGCACTTACATATTTGTCTGCACAGTGAGTGTGAAGCCCAGTTAATACTTCTAGTCTGTGGCCCATTCATAGAAGGGGAGAATCTTTTTGTGTTTCATTTAGCTCTTTGTAGACAATTTTCCATGAAAATTGTCTGGTTCATAGCTACATGATAGATATCAGGCACATGGAAACCTGGACTTTTTGGATCCTAGGCAAGAGGTTTCATCTCATATATATCTACGTGCAAAGTAGCCCACCTCCAGGTAGCTGTGCTGCCTCATGGGCATGCACATGCCCAGAAGTAAGACCTGGGGAATCTCAGGCACTGTATCCTTTCTCTCCCTTGAGCTCTGGAGTATTCTAAAATTACATGACTTCTTTGTGTTTGGGTCACCTGAATAAAACTGGAAGCACTGTTTAATCTATAAAACACCCTGTAATGGAAAAAGGACTGAATCAAGTTAGTTTGAAAATGAATCCTTTAATAGTCCTTGATTACTGTTTTGGAGTTCGACATGTTTTGGTCGCTCCCAGAAAACAGTGAGGGAATAGATTATTTTCTAGTTCAGAATAATGAAAGATTTAGATTCTAGTTGTAGTTTCATCTATAACTAGTGATGTGATATTAGGCTAGCTGGCTGACCTCTCATACCCTAGTTACCTGAGATGTCAAGTGGATGCTTACCTTCCTAGCTGAGTTCTTGTACGAGAATAAGACAGAAAATGGCTTGAAAATATTAAAGTCATAGTGATTGCCTCAAATGGTGTGGCATTTAATATATAAAATATACCCCCCCCCCAAAACCATATGCAAAATTAAATTTATGAAGGTCACAGTTGGGACATTTTCTCTCCATTTAAGTGTTTTCTGTAACAAGTTTTGAGCCTGGGCTGGGATTTATACTGGATTAATTACTGTCCTACTGAGTGAGTAGGAAATTTAGTCTGTTTTTTCTTTGGTTTCTGGAGTCAACTCTCAGAACTTAATGTTAGTTGCAGGTTCTTGGTATGACATTTCAGTCATTAGTCTGATTGGAACATTGTCTATCAGCCATCCCGTTGGCTTGGCAGATGTCTGCCTGCTTAGATACCATGGCTCCCCAGAGTCCCATGGGGCTGGTAGGGAGGATGAGGGGGAGGCCAACTGGGCTCTGTGGGCCAGAGACCAGGAGCCCTCACTTGGCTCATTTCCCACTCATTGTGCAGCCCGGGCCCTATCACTGGAGGGGCCTGGCAAGGAAATGAGGAGGAAGCGAGTGCCACTGCTAGTTCAGAATGTTCCAATGTGGTTGGAAAGTTTGAGGAGAAGCCTGGGTGAGAAGAACAAGACCTTATTGACAGAGTTCAGTTCTGGTCAGGTCTGTTTCACATCAGCTTTCTAAATAATCACAGCTCTTCCCACCCAGGGAGCTACAGCACAGTGAAACCCCTCCTCCCCCCATAAGAACACGGAACAAAACATTTTAATCTTTTACTCTCAGTGGATAAAGTATGAAAAGTATAGTGTTACTTGCCTCAAAGCAAAACAATACAACAAAACCAAACCTTTATAACTTCCAAGACTTTTAGAACTTGTAGTCAAATTATTATTATTGTAACTGACTACTTTCTTTAAAACTTTTCTCATTGATTCATAGAACTACTGATCCCCACCAGCATTTCTAGTGATCACGCAGGCCAGCCTGGCTTGTCCTGGCCTGAATTGGTCAGCCTCATGATCTGATTTAGTTAACACCTGGGTGTGTAAAACCCACACACATTTTAAGATTGGGATGAAAAGGCCAAACTTTTTCTCTTCTTCTCCACATGAGTCTGTAAACCAGAATATTTCTGTCAAGAAGTCAGGAGAAAATCTTCTGGACTTTTTAATGAACCACAAAATGTGTCCCTTGTATGCCTGGCCTTGCCATTCTGCCTGAATTTATGCAGGGTTTCTGCATTAATGTTGTAAACACTCACTTGGCAGCCCTGTCATTTTCAGGACCCATAGGGTGTCTCTAGTTCCAACTTTAGGTCAGGTCATGATAATAATAAGGCTTCCTTCATTTTTCTTTTTCCGGGAATATTTGGTAGGAACTTCTGAAAGTCAAAGGGATATTTTAAGTCTTTTCAAACTTATGAAACCCAAGAAAACCTAAATACCCCTGCTGCTTTTAAGCGTACAAATTTGCATTAGTTCGAGCCTTTTAATTTTATATTTAAGTCTGTTGGGATAGAAGGGACTCCCTGTTGGGGTTAAAAGCTAAAGAGCAATTATAGGATTGGTTATAAAGTGTAAGCCCCACTTCTTTTGCTGAGAGAAGCTAGTACTCCTAGAGTGGCAATTGCTCAACCTCTGACCTCTGACCAGCTTAATTAGGTATCTCTCATACTTAAAGCAACACATGGAAGTCTTTAGTTTGAGAGAGCCCTACTTGGAAATTTCTGAAGAATTTATTGAATACCACCAGTTGAAATTGTCACTGTTTATTCAGATACTTCCATCTTATCATAGGAATTTACTACATGACTTAAGATAAATATAAATGAAATATTAATATTTTATAAAACTAATATCTTCTTTAGTTCATATGTATGTATGCATATATATGCTGTTCTGATTGCACCCCTCCCAAAAACAGTATCCTTTAAAACTCATGTAAGGTGTTGGAGAGATGGCTCAGCAGTTAAGAGCACTGGCTGCTCTTGCAGAGGACCCAAGTTGGAGTCCCAGCACCATCTCTAACTCCAGTTCCAGGGGATTTGACATGCTTTCTGACCTTCTTGGGCATTGCACAATACAGATGCACCCATCTTCATGTAGGCAACACACTCACATATATAAGATAAAAATAAAATATTTAAAAAATCATTTAGACTCCTCAGTGGCTTTCTAGAGCACTTGGGCTTAGCAGCTAGCTTTGGTCCTTGGAAGGCCCCTGGAGGTGGTCATCTTCCTGCCCAGCACCTCCAGCTGTGGATTACTGTGGATTCATTCTCAGTAATGCCAACACCCTGTGTTCTGTGTCCCTTTGTACTTGCTTGCTCTTTCTTTTCTCCAAGTCTCCCAAGCTCTCACCTTATCCTATTGCCTTTTAAAATGTCCTATAGATTTTGTTGTATTCCTGTTTTGTGCTTGCTTTGTGAAGGTATTTGCATATTTCACATAACTTATAGGTAAAAAAACTTGAAGCCAAATCCACATGATTTTGAATCTTGGTGCTCTCTGTTGTCCTGATGACTTGCCTGTGTTTCTATTTCTTTCTCTGTGGCACTCATGTGGGTCACTTTCTCTTACTGGGTAGTGGAACACCAGTGTTCATTGTCATTATCTGCTGGTTTTTATTTTGGATGCTGTGATCGTTCATTCTGTTCAAATTGTCTTTTATATATTTGTCACAAAGCTCTTAGGGTAGGTCACCTTCCTGTACCAGCCACCATAGGTCTAATGCTTCTCCATTTTCCCTCTCTTCCCAGGATGGCTCATACTTGGCAGAATTCCTGCTGGAGAAAGGCTATGAGGTGAGTGACTCAGTGTTCCCTGGGATGCCTCGGATTGCTGGGATGCAGCTGCCTTGCTTCCTCTGTATGTGCTTTCCACGGAAACTCTGATAACAAATCAGGATCCAAGCATGACTGCTGTGGCGCCGGTGATGCTTCCAGCTCATTGTGCTGTCTATCTGCTGGGGAGCACCCTGGACTCAGCTGCTCTGCACGTCCCCTTGTTCTCTGATAAAGCAGCAGTCTGTATGAGCCTGTGTAAGAGTGTGAGAGCTAGTTTATGATGTAATGTGCTACATTAAAAAGTTCTCTTCATGAAGTCACCTAATTTGAAAATTGCACAGAGCAATAAAAACCAAGCTGATCTTTGGCAAGCTTGAATGAAAAATTTATACCTGGAGGTTTTCACTTTCTAACAGGCAGCTCACTCTCTCTCTCTCTCTCTCTCTCTCTCTCTCTCTCTCTCTCTCTC